CCCCTCTGCTCTAGCTGGTATGTAATATCTCCCTCCCTTGAGAGAGATTACCATATTGCCTGCAGCTCATTTTGCTTGGGTTATGGCATAGTGTTATCTACAATGTGAAAGAATTTAGTTTTGTTGTTGTAAAAAATTTATGTGTATGACAATCACTTAGTTGAAATGGATTACAGTATTATTCAGTGATTACAATTCTATTTTGCAGAGTGGCTATTACAGCTATCAGTACAGAAGTCCCAAGGAATATTTTACACTTTTTACATGCTATTATGATAGCACACAAAGTTGAAACAATGGCAATTATTTTAGAATATCTTTTTCTTTTTCTTTCTTTCTTTTTTTTTTTTTTGAGACGGTGTCTCACTCTGTTACCCAGACTGCACTGCAGTGGTGTAATCTCCACACACTGCAACCTCCGCCTCCCGGGTTTAAGCGATTCTTCTGCCTCAGACTTCCGAGTAACTGGCACTACAGGTGCCCGCCACTATGCCTGGCTAATTTTTGTATTTTTAGTAGAGATGAGGCTTCACCATATTGGCCAGGCTGGTTTTGAACTCCTGACTTTGTGATCCACCCACCTCAGCCTCCCAAAGTGCTGGGATTACAGGCATGAGCCACTGTTCTTGGCCTAGAATATCTTACCTAATGACCATCAACAGGACTTGCTGCTCACAACTAAAATAGAGTATTAATTACTCAGCTAAAACTGGGAAGAACCACCTCAATTTTCTTGGGAATAAGCTAGACTTTTGTAAATGTGCATATTTCCTGATTTTAATATGTTGTTTGAATTCATAAATGTCAAAAGTAGCTAAATTTCAAAATATTTGGTGTATATGCCACATTACTAAATATTTACTACATACTAAACTGTTTTGGGTGCATGAAACTCTTTTGGGCACTATAGTTATACTTAGCCATACAAAATATAGAAAATATTGTCGTTATTTAACCTTCATGGAGAGTGCATTGTTCCTGTATGATACAGAGGTAGCCTGGGTTCTTACATTTTTAGTAGCAAATTGGTTGCCATATTAATTACTCTTACTACTAACATAAATTCTTAATTCCCTGTTTTCATTGTTATAATTTCTTCATGAAGCTTGTCTCATTCCATCCTTACAACCACAAAATGAAGTAGTGCCATTCTCCTCCTTTGATACATGAGAAACCTGAGAGCCATATAGGTTAAAGAATGTGTTCAGCCAACACATAGGGTCATGGCTTAACTGTGATAGAAATATAGTTCTAGTCCTAGAACCCAAGCTTTTATCCATTATGTATGCTATGTCACCTCTTAAGAGCTGGTACAGCTTTCTCATCTGTAAAATGAGGAAAAGAGTAATACTCCATGATGTGGTTGTAAGGATAGAATGAGACAAGCTACACAAAGAAATTAGAACAGTGACTGACAATATAGAATCAAGAATTTATTAGTAGTAATAGTGGTTAGTATGGCAATTAATTTGCTACTAAAAGTGTAAAACCCAGGACACCTTTGTGTCGTACAGGAACAATGCACTCTCCATGAACCAAAGCTCTGAGCCATTATGTATGCTATGCTACCTCTTAATGCTATTACACAAAAAAGTATACATCACTGTGTGGCTAAATATTTACATATTTTTTGTGTCCTATCTCAATTTTATTCCTTTGCACAAACGTTGTGAATTTCAAGAAATTGCTTTGGAACTCTTTATCCTTGTCTTTGTTATCCACAAACACTTCTTAGGGAGGATGTTTGAAGCTGTCCTTCTTTCAGTGAAAAAGGAAAAGCTATCAGTTGTTGCAACTTATTTAGATATGCACTGACTTTACCAACATGTGGTTATTCTCACTGAAACAGAAAATACATGTAAACATAATTTTATTTTTTATGACTTTTATTCTTAGATTCTATTACAATGTATCAGTCTCAAGTATAACTACAATATAATTTATAACAAACTGAAACATCTTGAGCATTCATAGATCTATGAAATTTGTAAAGAATTCCATGTAAACAGCTTTATTATATTCATGGCTATTTATTTTCATGAAGCAATTCTTGATTTTTTTTCCTCAAGAATTTAATAACATAATAAACCACAGATATTTTTTAAAAATTGGTGGACTTTACTCGTAAGTCCTAAACCCAGGCCAATTCCCTGGCCATCCTAATTTAGTTGGCTCTTCTTTCAGTACGTAATTAACATTTCTCCGAAATAGCTATTTAGAACTGCTTTATTTACATATGCATTTTATTTTCACTCTTTTTAATAAAGCTATCAAACTTCTATAAAATCACGCTAAATATTTGGGTTGCAATGTTCAATAATCAGCATTTAAAAGCAGCTCATAAGTCACCCAGGTCTTTTGCAAACTAGGTAACTAACAAAAAGCTAAAATTAGATTCTCTAATTTTCATTCATATTGAGTGTATAGATTTGTGTTCAAAACTCTTTGTGGCAAAGTGCCTCATGCCTGTAGTCTCAGCATGTTGGCAGGTCATGGCGGTAGAACCACTTGAGGCCAGGAGTTTGAAACCAGCTGGGGCAACATAGCAAGACCCCTTCTCTACAAAGATTTAAATATTAGTGAGGCATGGTGGCATGCACCTGTAGTCCTAGCTACTTTGGACGTGGAGGCAGGAGGATTGCTTGAGCCAAGAGTTGAGGCTGCAGTGAGCTATGATCATGCCACTGCACGCTAGTCTGGGTGACTGAGCTAGACCTGGTATCTTAAATAATTTTTTTTAAACCCGTTTGCTTCCATTTTATTCTAATTTAAATTCTTCAGTTTAACTGTCATCCTATATTGTTGGGTGTAATAAGTTCAGTGATTATAAAATTTAAATATTAGTATGACACCACCTTCTGAAGGGTGATAAAATCAGTACAAACAGTAATCCGCATGGAAAGAGAAGTCTAATTTTACTTCAAGCTTGTACTTACCAAGCTCTTTGTTCCAAATATTGTTTTTAATTGATAATAAGTCAAAAGTAAACATTCCTGGAACAAGCATAAATATACATAAAACTTAACCATGTTATAAAAAATCATAGTTCATAGTTCATCATGAAATAGGAAAAAGAACAACTTTATATATTTTTGATATGCTAAGAAGAAATTGTGTTAACGAACCAGTTGCCCATATTATTTTTTATTTTACATAAAACAAGGCAAGGTAAAAACATTAATAGCAAATTACACACTAACCTGCCAAACATCTTTTCATACTATAAGTATTCATAATACAGTTATATTTGTGAGTTTGAAATAATGATAGCTTGAATTCAAATATAAGGTGATGTTAAATTCTTAGTTGAATGTATTAAAAAATCTTACAAATATAATATATTTTGTATAGGTCCTTAAATTATCAAAACCTATTTTCAACAGGCTTGGAAGGTATGTTATGCAATGATCTATATAATCTAGGGAAACACTGCATGGTGTTTTTCATATTAAATTAAAAAGTGATTCAGATAATCTAAGATGAATGAACAGTGGTATAAAGAATCTTTAGCCCTAGATTTATTTTTATACTTACATTAGAACAAATGTCTCAAAGTAATAACAGATGTTATAAAATATATCACAATTTAAAAACATCCTAGACTTCCTGTCTCATTCTTTAACCATAACCCTTTGTTTCTATAGGAATGTTTAAATCCTTCTTTTTAATTTGCCAGAACAACAAAATAATATGTGCTTTAAACATTTATTATATAAATGTAATTTATTACTTTTAAAATATAAAAAGCAAATTAGTGAAAGATGTTTTATATATTTGCTTCAAAACCTCCCACAAAAATATTTTAAATAAAACTACTTTCTACCTGTGTAGCTCAATTTTTGTCTGTGCATGAATAACTTTATATAAGATCTCATATTCCTGAAATAAACCCATGAAATAAAAGCATTATGGTTATTTCTTTTAAAATTATTATAAATGTTTTTTTAAAAAAAAAAACTAGATGTCTACAGCTAATGTAAAATGAATATGTGCTTGATAAATTATAAGCCCAGGGTACCATGTTGATTGAGGCAAAATAATGCATATCACAGAATTTTAAGGAGAAGGTGACATCTTCCTCATTGTATAAATTGAAGTATATAGGTCCAAAGAGTTACTCCCATAATTTAGAAAAATAAGTTGGTGGCAAGGGAGCAAGTTGGCAAGAATCCCTATTTGAATGCTTTTTTATTCATACTAAACACATACTTGTGTTGAAAGTCTGCCATATAATATGATTGAAAGCTTGCCAAACACAGGATGATATACAGGTGATGCAATACTGTGCCCAAGTTGTTACCTGCTCAGATATGTACCACGGTCAAACAACTAACTGCACATCAGGAAGCATTTCATCAACTCTGTTTACAGCTAAAAGATGACTAAACAATACTGCATGAGAAAGCATGAAAATGTGACAAAAGATATTTAGAGACTATTATCAGTATTTTGGGCAGCACAATGTTAGGTTATATAAATAATAGCAAATAGAACTTTCATCAATTACTTTTTTGGTCAATTTATTTTTTTCAAGGAGCATAATATGTACTTAGAATAATTTTTCTAAGTTCTGTGGTTGTTCTATGAACAAAAAGAATATGAAAGAAGAAAGGCTATGAAACAATACTCTAAGGGTAGGTCTTATCCTGGTTGGCATGTGAGTCAAGATGAATGAAAAGCATCTGTAAAAATGAATAGCCTCCCATAGTTTTAATCCCATGGCATTTTATAGGCACATATAAATTGGTTCTGATGTGATGTAGAATAAATTTAAGCACCTTAAAATATAGAATAACCTCTGTACATTGATAAAAAGTCAAGCTCCCTAATAATGCATTTTAACTAAACATTCATTACTAATGCCGATTACTTCTATCAAGCATTGCATTGCGAATCCAAAGCAAAATACTTTTGTTGATTTCCAAACAATGGATAAATAATAGATTTCTCTCTCTCTCTCTCTCTCTCTCTCTGTGTGTGTGTGTGTGTGTGTGTGTGTGTGTGTGTGTGTGTTTACATGGGAAACATGAATACAGTCCTGTGAAAACACAACAAGGCAGATGTAAAAGTTTTCTACATGGCCTTCTGATTTATTAAATACCAAAAAATTAAATCACCTTTGTTTCCTATAATCAGTAATTCCTACACACTTCTCTTACAATTCTTGTAGAATCATCAGTGCAAAAATAACCATCTGCTAATGCTGCCTACTTGTCTTAGGAAATCATAGTTAGTGATTGCACTGCCTTTGAGAATATTTTGATAAAATGGATTTTGGCATAGACCTCCTCAAAAGAGTTTTATTAACACAAATAAATCACTTTCACAGGCTGTAAACAATATACCAAAAATGAAGCTCTATTTTTTGCTTTCCTTGCTGTCTTTCCCTTTGTCTTCCTTTTCTGTTCTGTCTTGTTCATATTTCTCTTTGTCTGGCTTTGTTACACTATCATATGAAGGTGGAGAGGTTGTGGATGAAGTGGCATCTGTTTTTTCTGGACTTGAGTTCTCATTAACATTATCAAAACCCGTATCTTTTTTATTCAGTAAATCATCATCTCTGTCTCCGTCTTTTATGTATATACTTGATATATTTTTGACATTTTGCCTTAATCGGTAACTTCTATAAGCACGCTGAATGACAGTAGCTGACACATCCTCTTGTTTCCGTTTTAGTGTGGTTGTAATGGGTTCATAAGACACTTTGGAAGGATTTGCAGACATGAACCTCTCTTCCATCTGTGAACGAAGAGAATCCATCTCTCCACTCTCACCCAGAACACGCTTTGTAAAAGCAAATAAGATGTCAAGGCAGTGGATCCGGTCACCACTGACCATGGGCAGATCCATGGCAATGAGCTGGACTTTGTTGGGTTTTGCTATGAGAAGAGGAGGATCCAAGGCAGCTGCAAAATCAGAGAGCTTGCTGTATTCTATAAACTGAGTTGCATCTGGATCAAACTTTTCCCAAACTTCATAAAACATTTCAAAGTCATCCTCACTCAGAGGTTCAGTACTTTCTTCAGTGGCAACACTAAAATTCTCCAATATGACTGCAATGTACATGTTCACCACAACCAGGAAAGATATGATGATGTAACTAACAAAGTAGAATATTCCAACAGATGGGTTACCACAGTCTCCTTCAACTGAACTTCCAGGATGAACTTTTTTGGGGTCACAGTCAGGTGGCTTACTGTTAAGAATAGGTGCTAGCAATCCATCCCAGCCAGCAGAGGTTGTAATTTGGAAAAGGCAAATCATACTGTTACCAAAGGTCTCAAAATTGAACATGTCATTAATTCCATCTTCCTTTTTAACATAGGCAAAGTTGGACATTCCAAAGATGGCGTAGATGAACATGACCAGGAAGAGCAGAAGGCCGATGTTAAACAACGCGGGAAGGGACATCATCAAAGCAAAGAGCAGCGTGCGGATCCCCTTTGCTCCTTTGATCAGACGTAAGATTCGGCCAATCCTGGCAAGACGGATCACTCGGAACAGGGTAGGGGACACAAAATACTTTTCAATCATATCAGCTAGAAACATACCTGTGTGTGGAGGGAAATAATAGAAATAAAATATTTAAATATCTATGCTACATAAAATGATGAGTCTAAACAGTTTCATCTGTCATCTCATTTCTTATGAATTCAAGACTTATTTTATGCTGAATGCAATTACTTAACAAAGGATTAAGAAGTTCCAAAGAAAAATGACTAACATTACCACTGCAACGTTTTCTCCTCTTTACTAAGTTCATGGGCTGTTTTTTCCTCCATAATAATTTTTAAATTATAAGAATACCTACTCATATAGATAATTCGAGCAATAAAGTTGAATGCTAAAAAGAAAATATAATCTGAAATGTCACCAAAAATAACTATTGTCAGTAATTTTTGAGTATCACTTCAGATATTTTTCTGTGCAAGCATATGTACACACACAGTTGTATTCATGTTATAAAAGCCTTTCTTTGATACTTATTTATTATTTTTCAAAACAGAGTCTCACTCTGTCACCCAAGCTAGAGTGCAGTGGCATGATCTTGGCTCACTGTAAACTCCACCTTCTGGGATCAAGTGATTCTCCAGCCCCAGCCTCCTGAGTAGCTGGGACTACAGGCATGCAACACCACACCAGGTTAATTTATATTTTTTTGGTAGAGATGAGTTTTACCATGTTAGCTAGACTGATCTCAAATGCTTGACTTGAAGTGATACCCCACCCCTGCCTCCCAATGTGCTGGGATTACAGGCATGAGCCACTGTGTCCAGACTGTAACCTATTTTAAACACTTTATATGTCATGGAGATATTCCCATATAAATAACAAAATAATTTATTATAGTTATATAATGTTCTCTCAAAATAGCCGCAAATTGAATAACATTTATACTGTTTCCATTTTTGTTACTGAAATGAATATCTAAATAGGTATGTTCTCCTAATTGTATGAGTATTTTTAAACAATATATTACTGGAACTTGGGTCAACAGTATAAATAAATAAAAATATATATAATATATAAATATATATATTTATACTGTTGACCCAAGTTCCAGTAATATTACTAAATAGGTAATTAATTAATTACCTATTCTTAATTAATTAATATTGTTTAAAAATACAATTAGGAGAACATACCTATTTAGATATTTTATATATAAAATATATATAAAATATATACAATGTATAGTTTACATATATATTATATAATATATAATTATAATATATATTATATAATACATTATATAATATATATGTAAACTATATATTATATATATTATAAATTATATATATACAAATATATAAATTATATATTTATGTACAAATATATAATAAATAATATACATATATTTATACATATATATTTATATATATTACTGGAACTTGGGTCAACAGTATAAATAAATATATATACATATTTATATTACATATATATGTAATATACATTATATATATTGCTATTTATATAAAATATATTACATATATAGTAATATATATAGTAATGTATATTACTATATATAAAAAATACATATATAATATATATTACCATATATCTTATATATAAATATATATATATTTTATATATATAGTGATATATATATTACTATAAGAAGTACTATATCTTCTTTATAGTTTTTTTTTTTTTCTTATTGGTTATTTTCAACTTCTGTTTTTGACCTAGTTTGGTATTTGCCCATGTGTCTATTGGGACTTTTATTATTTTCGTTTTAATTTATAAGAACAATTTTCTATTTAAAGTATTGATCTTTTCTTGGCCTTATCTTTTACATAAACATTTCCCTACTTTTTATCTTTCAATCTTTTATGATGAATTTTTCCCCAAAGAATATTTTGTCTTTTTTATGTGGTCATTTCTTTCTTTTTTCTTTTTCTTTTTTGCTTTACAAATTGTGTTATGAAGAGAAAGAGATATTAGAGCATATGGTTATTATCTATTTCCATGTATTTCCTACTAGAATCCTTTTTTTTTTAACTTTAGTCTTTGATTCACATGATCTTTTCACTCGGTAAATTAGTAATTATACATTAAAGATTAATTTTGACTCTATTCAAATCCATTGAGCTAATATATTTGAACAGTTTTACTTAGCATCAATATTATAAGTCTTAGTATCCAGCAGAATAAGCCACCTTTCATCATCCTAATTTTCTTCCAAATGAATTTAGAATCATTTAGACTTAAATTGTCAATTTATTACCCCCACCACATAAAAAGACTCATTGATCTTTTCATTAAATTTATAGATTAATAAATTAAAAAGTCTTAATTAAAATGAGAGAAGCTTATCTTCTTTAAAAAATTATTATACTTTAATTTCTGCGGTATAGGTGCAGAATGTGCAGGTTTGGCCCTCTTCAAGGAGTGAAGCTTATCTAAGTACATGATAATCCTTTCAATTATTTCTGCTTTCATTATATTCTAAGGTTTTCTTCAGAATATGATAAAGTTATTGGATATTTTACTTTACTTTTACTTCAATAGTGAATAAGATTTTCTAATTTATTAGTGTTGGTACATGTAATTTAAAATTTCTACCTTTTGAATTCTAATTGAATCTCTTTTTAGTTGATTCTCTTTCTTTATATGAAAGTCATTCATTATATGAAGAAGTTCATTCATTATATGAAGAAAGTGATTATATGATATCTGCTCCATTGTTTGGATATATGTACCTGTTTGTTTTCCTATCTAATTGCATTAGCCAACACTATTAAAAAACAGAGCTAATACAGGGATACTCTTTTTTCCTTCTTGACTTAATGGGAATGCTTTCAGAATTAGTGTGAAATTCTCATCTAAATTTTAATTCATTTTCTTATATGTTGATTTTGGTACCACTTCTAGGGAAAATAACCTTTTAAAAAAATACTGATTTTTTTAAATGCTTATTCTGTTATGTGGCACTCAATTGTATGCAACCTTTTACCTTTCCAGATTGATAAAATTTGTAGCAAATAATCTCTATATACAACCCCAAAATACTTTGCAAGATGTGTGAAAATAGTAGGAAAAAATAAGACAAAAACAGCCATGGTAATGAATTTGTAGGAAGCATAAAATCATGTGCTATTATTCACAGGCATGACCATGGCTGGCTGAGGAATGTTTGACATTTTATACACCTGTGAAGTATTAAACCTTAAAAAATAAAACTGGCATTTCTAGAGACCTTAACTTCACTTTAAATTCTGGAAGAATTTTCACAAATTCACGGATATTCTGGCTACTAATACTATCATTAATCAAATGACAAGTCTCACATGTACTAAAATCAGCAGTGTTTTCAGATTAAACATTGATTTTCCGAGACACCGCTATATATAAACATGGTAACTAGCTTTGCAAAGGTAACATTAGAAACTAAATGCCAACAAGTATAATTTCCTCCTAACAGATAGAAACATTTGGCTTTCATGCCTATCGTGTAAACCCAGAAACACTGTGATATGATAGACACAGATATTTTTGTTTTGTTTTTAAGATTTTTTCATTCTTTCATTATACAGAGTTAAGAGTAAATTTGCATTCAAGAATTCAGAGACTTTCTTGAGCATAAGTGAAATTTAGCTTTACTCAAAAAATAAAATCTGAATAATAAATGGTCTTACCTACAATGGAGATAATCACAACCACAAAATCAAAAATATTCCATCCTACAGTGAAGTAGTACTGTCTGAGGGAAATCAGTTTTAGCACACATTCTCCAGTGAAAAGGATTATAAAAGCCACATTTATCCAATTTAAAACACCAGTCATATATTCACTTTGATCCTCCTTTTCTACCATCATTGTTACCATGTTGAGACAGATAAGAACCATGATAGAGATATCAAATGCTTGATTTGTCACTAGGTCAAATATACATCCTTGGAATTTGTTCTGCAAAGAAACAAGAAAAATATTGAATGCAGCGTAAATTTTTAGAGTAGTATCTAGAAATTAATGATGAGCATTAAAAATGAATTAGAAATAATTTGAAAATGTGTATGCTAAAGATACACACACACACACACACACACACACACACACACACATATGGTTTTTTTTTTTTTTCTTTTTACCCCTGGTCGAGGAATTGGCTTTTGTGGCTTCTTCGACCCCAACTTTTTCATTGCATTATAGTATTTCTTCTGTTCTTCTGTCATAAAGATGTCTTGACCTCCAAGGTAAAAACACGAAAAATAAAAATAGTTAAAACCAGAATCATTGTCTAGATTTTTCTATAGATCATTAAGATAGGTTAAAATGTTTTAATATAGAAATAAAATGTATTATGTTCATGGTAGTTATACATAAAATATATCTTAAATAATTACATATGTGTAGAAACATGGGCCTCCAAACATAGTTCAATGTGCATATGTAAAATATTTGTATTACCTATAATAAGGATTGGCTCAGTTTTCTTTTTGTGTGCTAACCAGTGTTGTTTTAAACTGTGTACTTACATCTTTTTTTATCTGATAGCTGTCTTACTACAAATTATATTGCTAAATAACAAATGTAATAAGAAAAGTTATAAGAATTAAAAGTAATGAATATTTTCTTTGATTGGCTAATATTTAGAACTTTTATACAGAATAGGGGCTACAAATCACAACCAAAATTGTATTAATTTTATATTCATTTTAATACACCATTATTCTTTTAACAAAAAAAGCATATAAAATAAAAGGATAATATACATTTTGATATCTCTATTTGAATAAACTCTTTGACTACCTCTTTAAATAAAGGATTTCAATGTAAACACTTTATTGAATGTCAATATTATGCTTGATAGAGTTCTAGGTACTGAGGAAGTTATCAATTATCAGACCCAAACTGAAGGACTTTCCAACTGATTATGTAAAAGAAATTATAACCTTTAAAATTCAATAGTAAAAACCTAACATCTAAATGAAGCTTTTGACCAGAAAAGCCTAAATCTCACAAAGGAGGCTAGAAGCTTCGGTTATTCCCTTTGTTCTCTGCTAATTTCTTAAATTATCTGTAATTTTTACATATTTATGTATATTCTATATTAGCTGGTAATTTCACCTTTTTTAGTCACAGCATAAATTACTGTAATGCGTATGATTAAGAATTTATTTTCAAGGATTTATGGTTCCTAGATTCTTACTTAACTTGTAGAGTCCTGGAATGAACGATGGTCTTGTTACAGTTTCCCTTTATTCTCTTGGATTTGGTAATATTCAGCTTCCTCTTATTTAATTTTTTAAAATTCTGTTTGCTGTTGAATGAGAAGCTTCCCATTATATTGCATTTTCTCATTTATCAAATACCTAATGTTAACCAGACTTCCCTTTCTGCCTTATAGTATTTTTGTTGTTGCTGCTGCTGTTGTTGATGGAGTCTTGCTCTGAGGCATAGGTAGGGGTGCAGTGGGACCATCTCAGCTCATGGCAGCCTCCACCTCCTGGGTTCAAGTGATTCTCATGTTTCAGCCTCCAAAGTAGCTGGGATTACAGGTGCATGACACCATACCCGGTTAATTTTTGTATTTTTAGTAGAGACAGGGTTTTTGCCATGTTGGCCGGTCTGGTTTAGAACTCCTAGCTTCAAGTGATCTGCTGGCCTTGGCCTCCTAAAGTGCTGGAATAACAGAAGTGAGCCACCACATCTGGCTGCCTTAGAGTGTTCTAATTCAGCTTTCCTCTAATTCATATGCAGTCTTTATGAAATTTTTATATTCATCTAACTTACTGGCAAGACATGAGAGAGAGAGACTTCATGCCAATGTCAAGAGAAGCCCAGATCCTTTATTGCTCATTAATGGGGACTGAATATTATGGCAAGCCAAGAACATAACAGAAGTTGGCCATAAACTAAGGAGAAAACTCTGACTTGCAAGAGAAAATCAAAGTCGTAGATTTTGTTTTCCCCTATTGATACCCTGGTTGTCAATATGATGGAGTGGGATAAAACTAAGAGGAGATAATGAATTACTTCAATAGAGAAACTTGTGTGGTTGTTTTGTTTTCCTATAGCTTATATAGGCCTTGTACAAAATACATCCCTTTAAAATCCAGGTAGAAGGTATTCCATAAGTTAGGCTAATCTTTTTCTAGGTTACAATCTACATTGAGGCTGTATTACACAGTAGTAAAGACTTCACTTCTGATGTCAGACCATCTTTGTTCAAATCCTGTCTTTTGTCCTTGGGTAAGTTTCTTAATTCTTTAAGTAAAATCACCTCATCATTATAAGAGTAATCACCTCATTTGTGTTTGCTGAGAAGATAAATTGAGGTAATGCATGAAAAATACTTTGCATAATGTCTGGCACATGGTAAATCTTCATCAAATTTTAGTTATTATTACTATTAACTTTCCTGATAAGGTTAATGAAAGGGGTTATTGTTAAAATTAACTTATATGCTCAAATATATAATAGTCATTTGTATAGCTATATTATGTAATCTTCCTTTATATAACTTGAATTCATTAATAACTTTTGTTCTAATCTTCAGTAGTATGTTTTATGATTATTAACAACTAATTTCACATGAAACTATTAGAGATGGAAAAAGTACTTATAAGGATGATCAATAGTTGGAAAAACTAGTAAAACAGGGTTGGTTATTAGAAAGAGGTATGGGTAGTTGGTAGAGTCATAAGCTTTGATCAAATTATTGAAGTTAAAAAGTGACAACATTGCACTGTGGAAACAATATGGGCTTTCAAATAAAACAGACATTTCAATCCTGACTGTGCCAGTATCCTATTACTTGGTTTGAAACAATTTATCCATCCCTTCTAGGGGCTAATTTATTCATTTGCATCGAGATACCACTTTCAAGGGAGGGAGAGGAGTGAAGTGTATTAAATGTCCTTGCCTTTCAGTGTGCTACACTAGGACCCAGTTTCACTCTTGCTTCATATGGAGCACTGATGAAAGAAGCAGTATAATTAGAACAATTGATATAGCTACAAACATAGGAAATGGGGAAGGTAGATTAGCTATTTGAGGGCTTCCAGTATCTGTAGCCAGGCTGACTGGCAAAGGTCTTTCCCTGTCAAAGTCAGTCGATAAATACTGGTGGGTATTTTGTGTCATTTGTGACATTGTGTCAGATGGCTGACAGGTGGCTGTTCTTCAAATGCACAGACACCAATGCAAAGCACAAGAAACACAAAGAACTAGGGAAACAACCCAAAGGAATAAAATAAATCTCCAGTGACTGACCCTAAAGAAATAGGTTTATAAATTGCCTAAAAAATAATATAAAATAATTGTCTTAATAAAGTTTAGCAAAGTACCAGTGAACAGAAATAGATAACTAAACAAAATCAGGAAAATGATACATGAACAAAATGAGGATGTCAATGAAGAAACATAAAACAAAAAATGAAATGTCAATAGAAACTCTGGAACTGAAGAATACAATAACTGAACTAAAAAATTAACTAGAGGTGCTCAACAGCAGACTTGATCAAACTGGAGAAAGAATCAACAAACCTAAAGATAGATCATTTGAAATTATCCAGTCAGTGGAGCAAGAAGAAATAAGAACAAAGAGTGAAGACTTACGGGACATCGTTAAATGAAATGATATATACATTATGAAATCACAGAGAAGACAGAAGTGTAATATTTTTTTAAATGGCTAAAATATGTTCAAATTTGGGGAGAGAAATGAACATCTAAATTCAGGAAAGTCAAAGAATCCTACATGTACAAATCTAAAGAAGTCTCCACTGAGACATAATATCATCAAATTGCCAAAAGTGAAAGAATTTTGAAAGCAGCAAGAGAAAACTGAATTGTCATGTACAAAAGAGCCCTCATAAGATTAACAGCAGATTTCTCAGCAGAAACTTTAAAAGGAGAAACAAAATGAAATGATGTATTCAAAATACTGAAAGAATAAACTGCTGACCAAGAATAATATACCTGGAAAAACTGTCATTCAAAATTAAGGAAGGATAAAGACCGTGCAAACAAATGCTGAGGGAGTTCATCACCACTAGACTTACAGGAAATGCTAAAGTGAGTTTTTCAAATTGAAGCAAAAGGATGGTAAGCAGCAACCCGAGAGCATATGAAGGTACAAATCTCACTAGTAAAGGTAAATACATAGACAAAGAGAGTACTGTAATGCTCTAATAGTATTATATAAATCATTTATAATTCTAATATAAAAGTTAAATGGCAAAATAAGAATAATATTACAAAACTGTTGGTAGATATACATTATAAAAAGATGTAAATTGTGGCATCTATAACAAAAAGTGTGAGGGATATATTAAAAGTGAAGATTTTTGGTATTTGATTGAAGTTATCAGCTTAAAATAGACTATTATAAGATATTTGTGGGGCCAGGCAACGTGGCTCACACCTGTAATCCCAGCATTTTGGGAGGCTGAAGTGGGCAGATCATGAGGGTCAGGAGTTCTAGACCAGCCTGACAAATATGGTGAAACCCTGCCTCTACTAAAAATATAAAAATTAGCCAGGCATGGTGGCATGCACCTGTAATCCCAGCTACTCATGAGGTTGTGGCAGGAGAATTGAGCCAAGATAGCACCACTGCACTCCAGCTGGGTGACAGAGTGAGACTCTGTCTAAAAACATAACACAACAAAACAAAAAACATGTTTGTGATTGCCTCATGATAACCACAAGGAAAATACATACAAAAATATAGAATTTAAAAAGAGAAATCATAGCATATCATGAAAAATATCAACCAATCATAAAAGAAGACAGTAAAGAGAAAAAGATAAAGTAATTATGAAACAGAAAAATGTAACAAAAAGACAATAGTAAGTCCTTACCTATCAATGATTACTTCAAATACAAATGGGTTAAACTTCCCAATCAAAAGACGTACAATGGTTGCATAGATTTATAAAAACAAGATCTAGTCATATGCTGTCTCTAGATACTCATTCCAGATTTGAGAAAGCATAGTTTGAAAGTTAGTTGATAAAAAAGATATGTTCTGTACAAATGGTAACCAAAAGAAAGCAATGGGGCTATACAGTTGTCCTTTAATATCTACAGGGTCATGGTTCCAGAACCCCCAGGGACACCAAAATTGAGGATGTTTAAGTCCCACCATCAGCCCTGCAGCACCTGTGGATAAAAATAATTCAGCCCTTTGTATCTTTAGGTTTCATATTACATGAACACAGTGTTATCAATCAGTATTGGTTGAACC